AACAATGAGAGGGAGAGGAATAGTTGTTTGTTGTTGGCGTTGGTGCATGAGTCTGCCAGAGAACTCACGGGACGTAGAGGTTATGGGAGTTCGCCGTTGCACCGGAGAAGTTTACCTCAGGAAAGACATTCATTGTACATAAACTCGATAGTCAGCAAGACCTTCATTTTTAATGTTTGTTTGAAGAAATTTGTCATGGGAATGTGCAGAGACTTCAGATATAAAAAACGCGGACTTGTTAGGAAATGTTTACTCAATGAAATCATAGCGCGGTGATTTCACTTATATTATGTCTTGAGCAATTCAGTTCTATATTAGTAGTTGTAGCCATTGCGGCGTGAACGTCGTCTCAGCTATATCTATAACTGAGGGAGAATGTGTCAGCGTGGATGCGCATTGTCTACGCCAGGCGTAGTTGCGCCTGATCGTAGTTACAGTTGGTGCAACAGGTGTAAATATTTATTGTAAAGCAGGATGTTGCAAAGCCCAGCGTAGGGCTTACACCCAGCGTTTTTACGTCTAGCTGGTGCAACCGGCCCCTGGGAATTAAGGTTAATTTAAAGTGGGAACTAAATGTCTTTTTAACTTGAGAACTATATACAGTCACAAAGAATTGTTTATTACACAGAATCTGTGCCAATATCGTGGATTATTACAGCATCACTTGGCCATTGAGTGTAGTTTGGGCTCTTAATCACTGCATCCTATAAATGTTGTCATACGTCTTGCACAAATCCAGTCTGTTCGTTCATTATTATCATGCAGTTATAAAGGAGGTGTTGAATTTTATCATTCGCTCCTTGCATTCTTTCTTATATTTTTACTTAACCTACCCGTCTACATGAATATGCTATATAGCGCATATATTAAGCAAAATGCTTTATTTTTTCAAGCTGACTAATGAGCTTATGGACGCCGAATGGTTATTCTGAGGTAAATGTATTATGTGGAATATTGTTATGTGGAATTGTTAACAAGCTTTACATGTTTTCCGCAGTTTGAAACACTGAATGAGCGATTAACATGAGACATTTCAGTAAGATGTACTGTATCTTATAATATACCTTTTGGTGTCCATTCATGTTTATTTTGTACTATAGTGGTAAAGAGAAAGATTTGATGGGTTCACCTGCGGCGCTAAAGCGAGCGCTCATGCCACATTTAAAGAGCGCCAATAAGGTATTTATTATTTGAATTTTGTGATTTTAAACAGAATTTTAAAGCTGATACTTAGTTTATTAAAAGGTCACAGAGCACAAAGCTTATTGCAATTACTGGATGGCAAGTGCGCAACAAATAATATGAAGTTCACGGATTAACAGAACACAGCATATAGACTAAAGCAGTGGTCGCCAACCCGTCGATCGCGATCGACTGGTAGATCTTTATCACTGTCCCAGTAGATCCCGAAAAAAACAGTAAAATAAGTACAAAAATGCATTACATTTATGGGGTTATATTAATGTATCACTGAAGGGTACTGTCTTGAGAAAAGTATAAAGCGCAGCTCTGCTTTGTTTACAGCGGTAAACAAGGAAACGCTATAGTGCGGTCGGTTCATAAGCAGTGTTGCCAAGTCCGCGGTTTTCCCGCGGAATTGTGCTACTTAACACTGTTGCCGCGGGTTGTTGTTCATGTCCGCGGGTTGAAGCGACCCCAATAACGTGATATTTAGTCCCTGGAATGTGAATTTTACTTGAAGATCCCCGCCGAAAAACGTGTATTTTACCCCCGGAATGCGATTTTTACAGGGGAACCCTCCTCGAAACGCATTGGACTAGTTTTATTGCGAAAACCTGGTAACCCTGTTCATAGGCGCCACCTGCTGTCAGAGAGTGTGTCTCATTCAGACCTGCTGTTTTTGTTTCGTGCAGATGTTTTATGTAGCAAATAAATAAATAAGACCTAAAGTCAGACCATTCTGTTTTTGTTTTAAATCCTGAAATTAATCTAAATCAAATCAAAAACAACTGCCCGTGCAGATCATGATTAAAATGCAGTGGTTGCCTCTAATTTCAAATGGCTAGATATTTTTGTTTAAAGCCAGTTTGTTTGTTATAAAACAAATAGCCAATAAATAAATTAGCTTAAAAATCAGTATCAGTATCAGAATCCAATTTTCTAGTTAAAAAAAAAAAAAGGAAAGAAAAGAAAATCTGAATTCTGCATCAGCTATGATCAGCGCATCACTAATTAAAATACTAAGTAAAAGGCCTCAAATTTGAAGTACAATCTGGGATGTCTTTTTCTATCAATTCTTCAATAGGTAGATCTTGTCTTTCATAAAGGCCGAGGTCAGGGATCTTGGGCCTAAAAAGGTTGGTGACCACTGATTTAGAAGAAATCTACAGAAGCAAACAGACAAGGGTAGTAGGTTTAAAACAAACACCTTAATGTGTATTTTGGACATTTCCTTTCCATTTGAGCAAAAGAAGACATGGAAGCAAAATCTCACAATTGAACAGTACATGAAGTGTCCTGCCATAAACAATAACTTCATAATTTTGCAGTGTTTTAATTATTTTTTGCAGTGTTTTTCCTGTAAAACAACAAATTAGCATTAACTTCATTTTAGTGTGAAGGTCTTTGTTGATTTGAAATTTGAAGTGAAAAAAATTAAAATAAATATCAGAAGTGCCCTTTTTTCCACTAGAGCCCCTGCCCCTCAAAATGTCTGTGCACGTCCCTGGGCGTGACAGATCACTGTATAAACGCCTCAGTTCAAACAGCACCGTGGAGCACGATCATCCCTTCCTCTTTTACTACTAGTTTTAACGTGAAATATACATGAATGAACATCTCATTCCTCATGTAATCACTCAATCAGTGTTTCGATCGCGGAAAAACGTCAATAAAACAGCTTGTAAACAAAATGTTACGTAGCATTTCATTTACCTCCTCAGGCAAGCCACCAGTGTCCATTCTATGTGCCATGGAATACATGTGTTTTATTTATTTTTATTTTTTAACACTTTAACATTTCAGTCATACTGCATTGTGTTTATGTCTCCCCTCCTTTTACAGCATCAGCATTTTAAGGTTCACTTAAAATAGGAACTAAACAGTCACAAAGAATTGTTTATTGCACAGAATCTGTGCCAATATCACATCACTTGGCCATCGAGTGTAGTTTGGGCTTCTGCTCAATGCATCTTATAAATGTTGTCATATGTCTTGCACACATCCAGTCTGTTCTTCTTCATTAGTAACATGCAGTTTTATAGGAGGTGTTGAATTTTATCTTTAGCTGCTTGCATTCTTTCTTATCATGTAGACAACAGGTTAAGTAAAAATATTAATATGCGATATAGGGCATAAATTAAGCAAAATGCTCCTATTTATAGTTATTTTTTTCTGACTGACTGATGAGCTTATGGATGCGCAATGGTTATTCTGAGGTAAATGATTATGTGGCATTATTTACAAGTTTTCCACATTTTCCGCAGTTTCAAACACTGAATGAGCGATTCCATGAGACATTTCAGTTGTATCTTATGTATCTTATAATATACCTTTTGGTGTCCATTCATGTTTATTTTGTACTATAGTGGTAAAGTGATGGGTTCGATGGGTTCACGTGCTGCTTGAACTGAGGTGCTAAAGCGATTGCTCATAACGCATTAAAGCATTTATTGTTTCAATTTCGTTATGAATTTGGCAAAATTTTAAAGATGATACTTTGTTTATTAAAAGGTAGCAGAGCACAAAGCTTCTTGTTTTTATTGGACGGCAAGTGCACTACAAATAATATGAAGTTTGCGCATTAACAACACTAAAGATCCTGATAACAAGCCATCTTAGTATCGATTTTAAACAAGAATTGTTAACGATATTGTTAATGTCCACACAGCTGACAGCTTTACCTGTTATAGTTTAAGTTGTGCATGAAATAGAAAAGTAAGAAAGTACTTTTAGAAAACGTAAGAAGTACGTGCAGAAAAGTAAGATTTTCTGCACGTCTCCGTTTATTACGTCAATGAAGATCCCCGCCGAAAAACGTGTATTTTACCCCCGGAATGCGATTTTTACAGGGGAACCCTCCTCGAAACGCATTGGACTAGTTTTATTGCGAAAACCTGGTAACCCTGTTCATAGGCGCCACCTGCTGTCAGAGAGCAATAAATAAATTTGCTTAAATATCAGTATCAGATTCCAATTTGCTAGTTAAAAAAAAAAAAGAAAGAAAGAAAAGAAATTCTGAATCGGCTATGATCGGCGCATCACTAATTAAAATGCTAAGTAAAAGGCCTCAAATTTGAAGTACAGTCTGGGATGTCTTTTTCTATCAATTCTTCAATAGGTAGATCTTGTCTTTCATAAAGGCCGAGGTCAGGGATCTTGGGCCTAAAAAGGTTGGTGACCACTGGACTAAAGATATTGACAATAAGAAACCATGTTTGTATCGATTATAAACGAGAATCGTTAACGATATTGTTAATGTCCACACAGTGTTGTAGTTTGTTCACATTCTGTGCATGAAATAGACACTGCTTTCCTGCGCTTACTTCAGTGTTCATTCACACATCATTTTTCATTAGCAGGTGTGCCGTCAACGCTGGCGTTCGGCGGAGATGAGGATCGTTTTTCCACTAAAACTTTGATGCGCATCATCTCAGTTTATTACGTCAACATAACAAAAGATGTTATCGTAAAACAAGCAGGAAAAAATGTTTAAATCATAAATTGTAAATTTATATATATCTCAGCAAAAATATCACTCGCAAATTAATATTCTGTGTCGTAAACGCTAATGTTTTAGGCACAGTCTGGAGCCCTGTAAAATGGATGTCTTCTGACAAGATAAACTAATCTAAAATTTTTGGTAAGCAGGATATGGCCACAATTTAAAACAGCACATTCTTCAAAATGCCTTCTTTTGTGTTCCAAAGCATGATAGTGATTAAATGATTTCCTTCCTTTTCCCCTTCATTTTCATGACAATGTAATCATCTGTGTTATGATTTCTACCACAGATCGGAGCTACACTGAAATAGACTTACCTTGAGAGGCGGGTCAGCTGATGGGGCAGCAGGCTTTGTCTCAGTTTTGGGTTCAGAGAGAGACTTCATGGCTGCCGCTGCATGCCGCACAATACACTGATGACTGCAGTACACTGACTCTGGCAGAGAGTCATTACTGCAGCCTGGACCAATGCATTTAGGTAAAGCTGCCTTCTCCTCTGCCTTCATCCCATCCTCCACCAGCTGCTCAATCCCCACCTGCGACACAACTCACAGATTAGATCAAGTAATAGTGAGAAAATCCATGCACAGTTTAGAATCTTAAGTGTGTTGGCATCAGACTGACCAAGTTTGGTGACGACTGCATAAAAACCCTAGGAGGAGTAGGGGCAGGCAATCTGCCGATTCTGTATTATGATATATCTTATAGGCATCCACAATGTAGTTTTCAAATTAATCATACAGATTGTTGTCTTATGTCCTATAAAATTGTCCAATTTTTTTCTGTATATAAATAAATCCACACTGCTTTCAGATTTTTTCAAGTTGTTAACAACTGAGAGTGATGAAGAAACACGGATGAATCCAAGAGTAAAGAATGGGATGTGCTTGATATTAAAAGAAGTTAATAAAAATCAAAAAACCACAAAAGAAAAAAACATCCATGACCCTTGAATTGCTCTAAAACTAGACTAAATACTTATGTTTTCTTGGACTAAGATAAGACCAAAATGCTCAGACTTTGCCAACTTAAACTTGACCAAAAAACAGGATAATGTTGACTAAACATGATGAAAGGAGATTTGACAAGACAAACACTAAAAGACAAAATTAACCCTAATACAAATATTCAATAAATCAAAATGTCACACATTTTTTGCTGTTTGTCACATGCAGTAGACCATTTTTGTGTCAGCAGGTAATGCCCCCCTTTTCCACTAGTTACTACCATACCTCAGATTTGTGAGGAACTGTAGAATCAGATCTGTATCGTCATATCGCCAAGTGCTAACCTCCACTAGGGATGCACTGTTGTGACGCTCCGATCAATATTCCGCTCTAGGAATGTGCGGAACACTCATGCTCACCGGAAAAGTAAAGTCCACTCAAATAACCTGCCAACAGGAACTAAACAGGTAGTATACTTGATCGTATCTGCAGTAGTGCTACTGTGCTGTAACATGCTGAAGTACAGCTAGTACAGTAGTACAGCTAGTGGGCAACGCTGGTTAAATGACGCTGCCCTATTGTGACGCAATGCTCTGCTCACATGCTCTGATAATAATAGCTTCGTAGGACTATACATTATTTGGATAAAATAAATTCTGTTAAATCTGATTCTGTTGCAAAGAACTGAATAAAAATAATATACTGATATTTAATATGAATATATTTTCTGTCCAATTTTATTGTTTTACTTTCCACAAAAGTGTGTTTATTTTATTAGCTTGTATTTTATATTATTTAATAAAATAATAAATAATTATTAAAAAGCATTTTCGGTTTCAGTTTTCGGTCATGTGCATCCAGAATTTTCGGTTTCTGTCCAGATTTTTCATTTCGGTGCATTCCTGACCGTACAGAGAGGTATCGTTTCATGCCTGTATGCTTTCTTTCGTTTGTGGGACACAACAGAAGATCATTCGTTCGTCCGCACAATGAAAGACTTTAAAATATGTTCTTATGTTTACAACTGAACACAAAAGTCATACAGATTTGGAACGACATGTAAATTTATCATTTTCATTGTTGTGTGAAGTATTCCTTTAAATTTTGCCAAACACTACGCCTGCTTGTTAAAGGTGAGAACTCAACTGTTATTAGAAATGCACTTTCCTTATAAGTTATTGATGGAGAACAGTACAGGATTCTTTTGTAGATGTGGCTAATCTTTTAGAAGTGCTTTGTATTACTACTGTGAAACAGAAATACTCTATAGCAGAGGTGTTCGACCCACTGTCCTGCAGAGTTCAGCTGCAACCCTAATCAAACACACCTGAAGCAGCTCATCAAGCTCTGCGGGACTGCTGGAAAATACACAAGCAGATGTGCTGAAGCAGGCTGGAAATAACCTCTGCAGGACAGTGGGTCCCCAGGAGCAGGGCTGAACACGGCTGAACACTGAACATGGTTTTCCTCATCAGGGTCTAGAGAATACACATCGTTCATATTCTGATATACTTAATGACTCAAAAGCAGATCATTAGAAAAAAGAAAATTACCACATGAGTTGAGTCGATTTCATGTTTTTCACTGAGACCATTTGTCGTCCTGTTCTTGCTCGTGGCGTCTTGTTCGTCGGAGCATGAGGGACAAACATATTGTCTGTTCCTCTGCAGGAGAGGAGTACAAGACTCTTCGACGCCGACACAGTCAACGTGACGCCACTTCTGGCAGGAGTCACAGCAGATCATCAACCTAACAGACAGAGCCGTTAGTTTGGTAGGGGATGAAAAATCTTACTAATATGAATATGCATTACCATTTCAATCAATTCACAAAGAAGCTTAATGAATAAAGAAAACTGATTTAACATCATATAATCTCTTGAATAAGAGATCAACTCTCTCCAAAATCAAATAAGAGTGAGAAACAGAACAAAACTGAAATCCACAATCAATGTTCTCACCTGGCTCATCACAGAAACTAACCACATTTTGATACAACAATACACAAGTCTATTAGCGCTAACTCAATTGAATGCACGTAAAATAATAATGCGGGTTGCAAGGTATAGTTTAAGTGGTTAAGAGGTTAAGTTTAAGAGTTTACACAATAGCATTACCAGTAACAACATAACCACCCTCCCTTCTCCGTGACTCACATGTTCCCCTCATTACCGCTCTGGGACAGTGCTGCCACATGAGTGTTGGAAGCAGAAACTGTATTTTGACTGTGCTCTGAAGAGTGTATGATAAAAATCATCACATATAAATCTTGTTCTAAATTCAAAAGTAACCATGTTCCAAAAGTAACATGTTTGATGTATTTACTGGACTGTACTGAGACTAGTTTATTCTGTAAACTGTACGGACCGTAACACGCTTTTACATGGGTTATCGTATCACCCTGTTCTAGCGCTGCAACAAACGATTATTTTGATAATCGATTAATCTACCAATTATTTGAACGATTAATCGGCTAATCGTCGATTATTTCACTGATTAATCAGTAGACTTTGATTATTCAGCTTTTGCAATTAGTTAAAATATTTAGTTATACATATTCTAACAAATAAATAAAGGTAATCACTTCCGCTTAACTCAACAATTGTGAGTTTGTCCATTCTGAGGGGAAAAAAAAATGACGAGTTGATTTTTTAAATCATCAGAATTGTGAGGTATAGCCTAATCTCGGAATGGCGAGAAAAAAAAAGTCAGAATTTTGAAATATAAACTCAAAATTACCCTTTACATTTTTTATTGCATGGCTTCCATAGACCGCTACTTTAAAACTGTAATTTTCTGCCACCAGATAGACCCCGCCCACAAAAACACTTCACTGTTTGCAAACACCGAAATTGGTCTATATGAAAAAGTAACTGAATGACATCATTCTGCCTAACTTCTCCTTTTGTAAGTCATATGGCTAAGAAACAAAATAAAGGTAAGTGATAAGACGTTTTATTTTTAGATAATTTTATTTTCAACAATCTCTCTTAAAGGGGTCATATGATGCGATTTCAATTTTTCCTTTCTCTTTGGAGTGTTACAAGCTCTTGGTGCATAAAGAAGATCTGTAAAGTTGCAAAGACTAAAGTCTCAAATCCAAAGAGATATTCTTTATAAAATTTAAGAGTCAACCACGCCTACCTAAAACGGCTCGTTCTAACACGCCCCCACATGTCTACGTCACGATGTGGGAAGATTTGCATAACACCACCCAAATGTTCACGCAAAGAAAGAAGGCATAACTTTTATTAGAAGCGGCGCGTCGCAGATCGATCAGTGTTTGACATCTGCGAGTGCGATTCGAAAGCATACAGAGCAGTCTGCTCTCTATAGCTCTCGTGGTACTGTAATACACCGATCGGTCTGCACAGTCGGTCCACGTCACCGGTTACACTCAGAGATGTGGCTCACACGTGGGGCTGTAGTGTAAATGCGTCCCAGCTCCCTTAGATGTAATGCTACATTTACACTGGTGCGTTTTTGTTTTAAAATGAAAACAATCCTCGTCAAACTGCCGTTTCCACAGTGTTTCAAGCCGGCTTTCCACTATCTCCGACTAGATGTAAGGCTACATTTACACTGGTGCGTTTTTGTTTTAAAATGAAAACAATCCTCGTCAAACTGCCGTTTCCACAGTGTTTCAAGCCGGCTTTCCACTATCTCCGACAGACCGGAAGTCATTTGTTTCCAATGGAGAGTAGCGCGGGAGCTGCGTGGAGTTCCAATCATATGCAGATGTCCGTTCATACTAACGTTACACGACCGCAAGTGCGTGTTACGTGACCATTCATGCACACTGTAGCATCATGCTACATCAGACAATAAATAATATTTATATTCCCCTTTTACTCAAAACTCACTTTAAACCACCATCGAGTGTTTGTAATAACTTCCGATTGCCGTCTAATGTGTGTTTTGGCCATGTAATGTTGCTGAAGTCAGAGCAGCGATCATGGAAGAGCGAACACAAGCAGACAGTGCTGGAAGCTGCTAATGCTCATCAGTAAATCAGTGGAAAATAAATAGAAATCATGATTCTGTCTGAGTTACGTGTTTTAAAACGAACGCGCACTAGTGTAAATGTAGCCTAACAGCTGTGTAAACTGAAGACTATTTGAGCTTTATTAAAACTATTTGCACTGATTTATTCTGTTGGTTCCCACTAATAAAAAGATTTTATCATTAGCTAGCTCCACACTGGAGAGCTGCTTTATAACAGAAAATCAAGTTGTAATCCTTCACTGACTCTGGTTTTTCATGTTTATTACTGTAAAGCTGCTTGATTTAAAGGCACAATATGTAAGTTTTCACCGCTAGAGGTCGCATTTTCAAAACAATAACAAAGGTGATGCTTGACGCTCTGAAGGAGTGGAGTGATGGGAAGATGTGATTTTCACCATCCAGAGATGTCCGAATCATGTTCACAGATGTAATGAATATTTTTTTTATTACCTGTACCTTCCAGTTATTCAAACAGCGAATAAATTATACAGAGAAAGAGAGCAAAGAACGATTAAGTTACATTGCCAAGGAACAGTATGACTGACTTCAGTCTAGCACGAATCAAGTCAAGTGACTTTTATTTGTATAGTGCTTTATACAATACTGATTGTGTCAAAGCAGCTTTACAGTGTCAAACGGGAAAATAGTTTGTCAATAATGCAAGAAGACAATAACAGTCAGTTTTCAGTTAAAGTCAGTTCATTGATGATTCAGTGATGTCATCATCAGTTCAGCTCTCTTCAATAGTGCTGCAATCAGTCAAGTGTCCCCAACTAAGCAAGCCAAAGAAACCAAAACTCCATCGGTGACAGAAATGGAGAAGAAAACATTGGGAGAAACCAGGCTCAGCCCTTATAATCAATAAAGCTGTCTATTCAGTGTTTGATGAATGAATCTCCTACTTACATCATACGTACATCTACACTTTGTTGTTTATGATGAAAGAATTCAGTCAGCGAGCGCGCGAACTGAACAAAACTCCAGTGCTTCTGCGATGACTCATCTGAACGCCTCTGATTGGCCCCTGCATTCATAAACTCAACAGACTCGTGTGTGATTGGTTATAACACGCAACACTGTAAAAACGTGGAAAAAGATTCATTGAGCAGATCTAAATTTAACGCTGCAGTCAACACTTTTGATTTCATTTTCATTTTATTTGCGACAGCTGTAATGAATTTAGTTTAACTGCAGCAGCATTTTTGTCCACGTGTATTGCCATAGTTTCTACAAGCGGAAACCGATAGCGCGGATATTACGTCATTGACACTTTGCAAGTGGTTTTTGGTTATTTTATTACGAAAATCTAACATATTGTACCTTTAAGGCTATCTATTGCATAAAGTGCTATATAAATAAACGTGACGTGACTGGACTTTACTGGAGTACTGAACTGCAGAGCTCATGCAAACATCCACATCGCTGTAATCAGATGCGTTTTAAACTGCTGCTTTCACACCGCTTTCATTAAACCACCTTGGGTTGCCTTTAAGAGACCTCCAAACTTACGTAACATGCTGGTCAGGGCTGATTTATCTGTCTCTCAGCCAACACATTTTTTGATTAATATTCCTTCAGGTAACTATAAGTGTGGAGGTTGTCAACAATGTAATTTTACTTACAAAACACAAACTTTTAAGCATCCCTGTACAGGGAAAACTTTTAAGATCAGAGGAACGATTTCTTGCAAGACCTCTAATGTTATTTACATGCTGCACTGCCCGTGTGGACTTTGTTAGGTTGGTAAAACTAGCAGACAACCCAAAATGCAGATTGCCAAACATCGAAGTGCCATTAGGAGGCATGACCCTAGAAGTCCAGTAGCACAACATTTAGTTAGATTTAAACATTGTTTCCACACTACAATACAATGGCATTGTAGCTGTCAAATTACCTCGTAGAGGGGGTGATATTAACCGTTTGCTTTTAAAGCGTGAAGGCTATTGGATTTATACTTTAATCACATTATTAGTGTTGTCAAAAGACCCGGTACTTCGGTACCAAGTCAGTACTAAAAAAATGAAAACATTACGGTACCAGGTTTTTTTTAAGTACCAGTGGTACCGAGTACCCGGTCAACCCGGATCTTGATGTGCTCGCTATCCGAAAGGTGCGCAGATGCGCTCTCTTCATAAAAGCACTGAGACGTGGCGACCTCAAAAGGAGGAAACACATCAAACTAACAAAACACTTTGAAGACCTGGATCAAATGAGAGTTCAAGCAGGTAAGTTTCAATAAAAAAAAATTTATTTAGATCTTCTGTTATGAATATTATTCCATAGTTTAATTTGAATGTCGGATTGAAATAAACATCACCGTTAGCGTAGTTAATCGTTAGCATAAGCACGGCTAACGCTAATAAAATGAGCATTAGAATTAAGTTTTTTTATTAACTATTTAATGCTCCTATAACTTTTATTAGGGTAAAAAAAAACAAGACATGATGATATTTACTATTTTTACACACCAGATGCTTTTAAATGAATTGTGAATCTAAAATATGCATGTTAGAGAATGTACAAATGGTTAACATTGTTTACTGTATGTCATAAAAAACAGGAGGACATAATGGTATTTACTATTTTTACACACCAGAGGCTTTTAAATGAATTGTGAATCTAAAATATGCATGTTAGAGAATGTACAAATGGTTAACATTGTTTACTGTATGTCATATCAATCCGTCAGAAAAGCAGTTCTGGGCTTTTTTTAAGCTAATTACAGGCTTCGCTTATCCCGTGCGAATGCACCACATGAAATTCAGATGTGGGGGGGTAATTTCAAAATCACACAAGGTCCCCAGATAATACTAATTCCGTGCGAATAGGGCTTTAGTCTTAGTTAGTTGTTATTCTTGGCTGGATAACTCTAGCAGGTTTTAAAAGCCCTTTAAATTTAAATATGTACACAGTTTGGATTAAATGAAAGTATAGTCAAATTATTATCCTGTATAGACTTTACAATAAGATAACATTCATTAACATGACTCACTTACAGTGAGTGAACAATATATTTTTACAACATTAATTAATGTTTTTTAATGTTAGTTAATACAAACACTTGATCATTGATGTTTGCTCATTGTGCATTAAATCATTTTAACAGACTGAACATTCAATTTTATGTACTAGTAAATTTGGAAATTAACCCCAAGAGGAATAATTGCTATAACTATTGTTTAATTGATAGGTCATGTTATTTAACAAATGGAATCTTATTGTAAAGTGTTTTTAATGCTACAGTTTCCATCTATTTGATATACACTTGACTTAAAATAGATGGTGTCAATGATCTAATGTTGCATTTGGTCAGACTCAGCCCATTGCTTTATATGCAAGTATATTATATTTTCCTTTTACAGCTGCAGACTGAGGAAGATCCTGAAACACACCAGCAAACCCTAAAACAGACAACAGTTTACAGATGTTTTTCAGTGGCAGCAGAACTATGACAAAAACTTTTGGGTGAAACTTGTTTACTTTTTTTTTTTATACTTGTATTACTTGTGGAAAAACTTGAAACACAATTTTAAATAAGTATAAAGAACGGCATTGATTTGTTTTTGTTTTGCTTTGGTACCGAGAACCGTGGATTTTCACTGGTATTGGTACCGAATATGGAAATGTTGGTACCGTGACAACACTACACATTATCATCTAATAGTCTTAATGAAGAGTTTGATAATCGTCATTTTTTTGCATTAATGATGCCGTTTATTATATTTACACTTTATAGATTATAATTATGTATAATTCATATAATATATTCATATAATTAATTATATGAGTTAACAATATTAAACTTATTTAAATTAACAGGCTATAACTACATAGATATAAATACAAAGGTTCAGTATATAAAGCTGTTCAAACTGATGAAGCTTGTTTTCTTTTGAGCTCCTTGTAATATAAATGATTTAAATTCAGTTGATTCACTTGCCTTGATATAGTCAGTAGCTGCCTTCTCAAACTTTCACTGCAGCGTTTATTCCTGCCTTGCAAATGTGTTTTTTATTCGTGGTATTTTTTCATAATCTCTTCATCTTCAACAGAGAAGTGAATTGCGCTGATTCTTGCGAGAAGTCCATCACACTGATGCTTTCCATGCTGCGTGTGATTGGCTGTTTGCAGCACGTGTCTCACTTTCAGGTGCACGCGCCTCACAGACACTGGATCAAACCTGAGTCGACAGAGAATGTTTATAGCGAGCGTTGTGCAACAGCTGATCCTGATCTAAACCAGGTTGGGTTTGTCAGGTTTTGTCAACTCAAAACAGGCCACAGGTGTGTATGTTAGATTGTTGTGCTTTGTTCTTGGCATTTTATGTTTTCACTTTTATTTCAGCTTTGTAATTCGTTGCCTGAGGGTTTAGTTGTTGTTGTGGGTTTTTGTGTGTGTGTGTGTCATGTGGTTTATCATTTGATGTAATTTCTGCTAGTATTTAAGGGCTCCTTAGTATACGTGTTCACTGTCTGATGAAGAGCCATATGGCTGTGGTGTAGGGTTGGGCCGATGGCTGACAGACATCACAATGTTGAGCCAGCATCATGATTAACCACAGCAGGGTTGGACGATGGAGGTTTTTTGGAAGATCTGTCCCTTTTATGTTCATCTTTATCATGTTTATTTATTACACAGCTCTCTGCTCTCTCAGCTCTACTTTATTCTGGTTGGTCAAGCTTATCATTCCTAACATCGACTATTGTCTATGGCAGTGTTGTATACTGACCCTCTAATCCGGGTCACTAAAACCTGCACTTTCATGTCACACGTATCACACCACAGGTTCTCATAAAAACACTAAATTAGTTCCTTCCTGAGTAACGGTTTCTGATCATACTGCAAAAATCAACAGGCCCATGATGCTCACCTGTTACTGTGTCCTTGTTGACATGTGCAGCAGACAGTATCATGATTCATCCTTTCAGTGTCTTCCTCGCCATTTTCTGAGAATTCCTCCTGTTCTTCATCCTGATGCTCTTCATCTGCAAGCTCACAGTCTTTCTTTGCTCTTTTAGCCCTTCTACCTCCAGTGGCTTTCCGAGCTCCTGCTGCAGCCACAGAATTCCCACTTGCCCCTGTGGCTGTGGAAGAACACACCTTTTCTCCTTTTGATGTGATATCCGTGTCATCAAACACATTCACTTCCTGTTTCATCAGTAATCTCACCCCTAGGTCGATATCTTCTACACTTCTCATATCAACATTATCTTCATGATTGAGTTCTTGCAGCCTTCGAGCCACAGCCCGCTGACGAATCTCTTGGAGATTGAGATCATCGCTATCTTCGGCTCGATCTGATGTGACTCCTTCACTGGCACATTCCTCGCCTGATTTCAGCTCTGCAACGACACACTGCACTCTTTCTGCATCTACCCGAGCTTCATGTTCACTGCTTGGCTTATCTGCGGCTGTGAGCTCAGGAACCAGCACATGTCCTCGACCCCCTCGACCTCGTTTAGAGGCTACAGCGGTCACGCCGCTCTCATCAGCCCGCTTGCCTCGGCCCCGGCCCCTGGATGGGCGACCCCTGCGGCGCTGGATGGGAGGGCTGCTGTCCCCAGAGCCAATGGCTTCTATGAACTCCCGCCTAGCAATGGTGCTCCGGCGGAAGCCCCAGGTCTTGGTCATCGCTGTAGTGCTGGAGCCTTCCTCATCCATCTGACTCAAAGGGGAAGAAAAGATGAAATACAACATTATCTTCACGGTTATCTTCCACTGTACGACCCATTTCAACAACAACAAAACGAGATGAACAACTGTGTCATTTAAATTTCAAATTGCATCATCACTTATTGTCGAAATTATGAAATGATCCGGCTTCTGTTCCAGGCTCTAAAAAATGTACAAGTTAAGCAGCACTATGGGTGCTTTCGGACCTACAGATTGCTTGTTTCGTTCTGAAACAGGGACTGAAATTGTTACAAAGTTGCATTCTCCTTTTGACTGTTCGCTTTCACAAGGTAGGGGTGTGCAATATGACGATTATTTATCGTGAAAGGGGTCTCACCAGCCTCTTTCACACAGAGATTTCGGAAAATTCATGGATAATGTGCCCCCGGGATCGTTTGATTCTGGTTCATTCACACTGGCAGTGATTTTCCGGAATCGTGCGTGCGTTCACACACATCCCGTAAAGACACCCGTAAAGTGAAATTACCATTTCACTAAGCTGGCGAACGATCTCAGCTTCAGCACAGATAGTGAGGAGCTCCCTGATCTCTGCTTCATTACAGTTTGCACATATTTTTCCATTGTGAACGTTAATCTGCCTTCAAAACACCCGGTAAAAGAGTCACACGATAACGTGCATCATCACCACGACACACTCTTTACAGCATTGGTCCTGGCTTTTGTTCACACAGGGCTCGTTCCGGGACTGATCCCGGCAATTTTACTAGGTCCCCATTCCCAGGACGTGTTTGCGTTCTCACAGAGGGCACTCTTCTGGAAACTTTCCAGAATCAACGAGCAGTGTGAAAGGGACTAGAGAGTGCGCAATTGCTGAATTGAGCACTTGAATGTTTGCAAGTGATACATTCCGTCATCTGTCCCGAGTGTCTTTCACGCTGAAATATTTGCAGGAATTTCCTGCATTACAAGCGCATAAACTGTGGGAATCATGCACAATCCCGCGCTGAAATTCAAGCCCTGTTGAACTAAACATTGGAACATTTCTTATGACAATTATCCACAAAGTGTGCATCTTTTGTCAGTGCAGTGCACTATTTCAGGTGGTTCTGACGCGCGCTCTCTGTCCGCTGGTGGGAGTGTGCTCACCTGTGTGTGTGTGTGTCTGTGTGTGCATCAGGGCAGAACGAGCGACCATGTAGAAACAGAAATGACATGCCGTCGTGTAAATAAGATAAATAACATAAGGATATTTAGTTTGTTTAATAAAAGAACAAAGTAGAACCTGTTCTATAGAAAAGGTAAACCTTAAATGACTTCTGTTGTGATCTGGCGCTATATAGAAAATAAAATGTAACAAAATTAACTTGACTTTAGGCAGGGGAAACACTGCACACAGACTTAAATAAGTGTATAGACTTGACTCCCACTCTAACTTATACATGTTATCAATATATTATATTTCTTTGTTTTTATTGCCATATTGCTATTTTCAAGGCAAGATTAATGTATTTTAAAAGAAACAAATAGTAGTAACATGCAGTAAAAAAAAATTTTACATAATTCCTGGTGACATTTTAAAAACATCCATTAGAGATGCTTTCTGAATACACCTGTTGCTAAACAGCATTTAAAGCTGTACATTTCAACAAAATATGCTTTATAAACAGAGGGATCTGACAAAATTACATGTTGGTGGTGCATCACCTTTCAATACAAATAAATGAGTTAACACAGTCCAATCATGTCTACACTCAAAAAGAAAATTAGCCTTTTCATGCATGATTGAACTGAAATATTTTTCATTTAAAAGATTGTGTTGCTATGAATTTATCAATATATTAAATGTATTAGAGCAACAATTCAAGTATGTGTGTGTGTGTTAGGGGTTGAACAACTTCTGATTTTTTTAAGTCGACTTTTATGTGATGAAAGTCGAGTCGATGACGTCATTAATGAACAAATAAGTCTGGAGCTGTGACAAACACCTTGTGCACAGCTATGGCATATGACACAGCACTGCCCACATGGCTGTTGCTCCTATAACAGCTTTTTTATCAGTTCTTTTGTCTTTATATTCGCTATAAGTCGTTATATTTCTCACAGATTTCTGCTCATTCTAAATCAGATACAGATAAAGTAGCAGTAAAGATTACATTAATATGAATGCATTAGTGAAAGCGATTGCATGTGTGAATTAATTCTACCTGGCAGCGTCTCTCTACTAGTAGTGAAGCTGTGGGATTTAGTTAAGAAATATATGCTTGAACTTTTCAGTTTCTAAGCTATTTTATTGAGAAATCACAGAACAGTGTTGACAATACATTTCCGCGCTGAATGATTCTGTGCGCGTGGGATGTGCGCGTGTGATGTACGAGCTACTGTCTGTAATGTGTGTGCGTTACAGTGCAGCAGCGCATTAGATTAGAACGGCGATTAACTTACCTGTAAAATAAGCTGTTTAAAACGTGCATTCTCCTGTTCAATTTCGAGAACAGTTTCAAAAATGCTCTTCAGAAACCTACAGGTGATGTCATGGACACTACATCCATGTTTCATACAGTCTATGGGTCACACCTGATAGGGTGATATTATGCACTCCTTAGCTGTCATAAAAAGCATACAGTCAATGACATCTGTCAGAGAAGACTTACTGATAGAACTTTATCACAGTTCGCTAAGATTACATCAGGGTGGCAAAGAGATAGTTCTCTCATCATCTCGTGTTCGAGATCCACCTATGGGAAGGGCATCCGTACCTGACCTCTGCAGAAGCAACCAATTGCACCAAATCTGGCTAGACAGACAGCAGCGCGCAGCCAATGCCAGGTAAGGCCCCACCCCCTTACCTGAGAGCATATAAGGCCTGCACGCGACGCTATTCTCCAGTTGACAATCGCTTCTCGCGACCTCTGGAATTTACTCACAGCTCGTCGGTTTTGACTTCATTTAACCATCTACAGGAGGACACATCTCTGGATCAGCCTCCGCCAGGCGTGCTTGTCAATTTACCAGGTCAGCTGTTTTTATTCTGTAAGCCGCCCACGCTCGCACTAATTACTAGGCTACCCGCCTCTTACCTGTCCTTTTCCACTGTCCGTTGTTATTGGCTCTTTCAAAACCGAGTCTGGCTAGTACCGTGGACAACTTGTCGCGAGCCTGCCCGGCCGCGTGCGGCGCCCTCTCGGGGTTGTCTGACTCAGAAGGGATTAAGGCGTCACCAGTGCGCTCCCGGGGGCCTCCCGTGAAGCAGCCTCACTTACCCGGGCCGATCAATGCATTTCATCGACGGGCCGCCTGGCTCCGGGGACGCGGACGATAAATGCCGTCTCTACGGCTCGAAGGATGAGGAGGCCATCCCGTCATCCGTAGTCCTTCAGATTTATGATCCTGCGGCTCTGCCCTAATCGGTCCTCCTCGAGTTTTGTGAGCAAGCGACCGCTCGCCTCAATATTGAATTTGAAGTACTTCAAATGCGTCGGACCAGGAAAAGGACTCGTACGACTGGAGACTTTTCGGAGCCTTCCCCGGCCCTAGAAAGCTGCTTCTCCCCATCTTCTCTGAATGTGCTAAACACATGGCAAAATTGATTGTTTTTCAGCGACCATTCATCAGGCTTCTTATTAAGCCCCGGCTTTGGCGGTAAGAGCCCTCAGCGTCTCCTCCCTGCCATCCACTTACCAGCGAACTGCTGGTCGGCATGGGATAACAAAAGAAAGGGTCGCCATCACCCGCGTTCTCAGGGAGGAGTTACTCACAGTGAATCACCTTGTTCTCCGTAATGCCCGTCAAACTGTCCGAACAAGCGGGCGCTCTATGGCTCTCTTGGTGGTCGGAGAGCACGCACTGTTGCTTAATCTTTCCGTTCTCCCTGAAAGAGAATTGCCGGTCGAGCCTGACCAGGCTCTCTTCGGGCCTGCCGTCACGCTAATACAGCAGCGCTGTGACGATAAGGAAAAGGAGGACGAGGGTTTTAAACTTTGCCTTCCTAGGAAGCCTGCGCTGCGCCAGATTCCCTCTGTGCGGCCAGATTAAAAAAAAAAAAAAAAACCAATTACTGGATTGTTGCACGGCCACAGGTGGCTTTGAGTTCAAGTTCACGGGTGGCCAGCCCTCCGGACACCAGTTCTGCCCTCGTATTTCCCCGTTTAAACAACGGAAGTTATCTGTCGGCGGAGTCATGGTGTTCAGTGTTGGCACGGGTTGCACTGTTCCCGGTGTAGCCCAGTGCTTGTTTCCCTGTTTTCAGAGGGGAATACAGTGAGGAAAAAGTGCACAAGCAGTGTCACCACACAGCTCCCTACATAAACGATTGGCTCATCATAGCCGAATCGAAGGTGAAAGTACTGCAGGACACCCGTCGTGCTCACTCACATCACATCTCTCGGGTCCAGGGTGAATTTGAACAAAGGCAACCTTACACCCAGTCAGAGTGTGATTTTCCTGGGCTTGGAGCTGAGCTCAGTCTCCATGCGAGCACGTCTTAAGAGCGTGTTCGCTCTCTAATGAACTGTGTGTCACAGTTCAGAGAGGGAGCAAAAGTGCAATATCGCACATGTCTCAGACTGCAGGGTCTAATGGCTTCATCTATCCAGGCTTTGCCTCTGGGACTTCTGAGAATGAGGGCGCTCATGAAATGGGTTTTGTCACTACATTTCAGCCTGTTACTCGATCTCTGCTGCTCTGTAACAGTGACGCGTGCCTGCACGGCAGTTCTGGAGGAGCGCGGGCTTTTACGCACAGGGAACCCCTTTGGGGACGGCGATGTTGCGGAAAGTCGTGACGACAGATGCATCCCTAGCAGGCTGGGGTGCCACCCAGGAGGGCAGAACGGTGAACGGTTTGTGGCCGAGCAGACTACGTTCAGTGACATAAATTATTTAGAGTTTATGACCATATGGAAAGCTCTGAATTATTTTCTGCCTCGCCTGCAGGGGCATCATGTGCTCGTACGCTGCGACAATACCACAGCGGTGGCATATATCAATTGCCAGGGCGGTTTGCGCTCATCAAAACTTCACGCTCTAGCT